CTCAGTACAATGTAAAATCTTCTCCCAGAGACCAGGAATCTCATAAACAAGATCAAGAAACACAGAAAAAAGGAGAATTCAAGTCCAATAGCAGATTCAATATTAAAAAAATTTTCAAGACCCCAAAATGGATTAAAAAAAATAAAAATAGAAGAAAAAAAATCACTTTAAATTAATTCAGTCCATTTAAGCTTTTTTTCCCCCACACTCACAAACGCCGCTTTCTTAGAGCAGGGAAATAATTTCAAAAGTGCTTTTTACAGGCACAAAAGAAAAAGGAAAACCAAGAGAGGGAGAAAAAAAAGTCTCACCCGGCTCAGCCACGGTGGTTCCTGTGCTTAGATGTTCTTCTGACTTCTGGTTACAGCAGCAAGGTGAACAGCCATTTTACTGGCTGGTCTTTCCACCGTCGGCCCAAAGGAGCAATCTCGGGCCATGGAAGAAGCTGCCGCTCTCCCACAGACAACGAGGATCTCCTCAGCGGTAGCCGCCCTTCCAAGGCGTCTTTTTGACCAGATTAAGGGTCTACCGGCAGCGGAAACTCAGCTGGGGAGGAGATCAGTCTCCTCGCACAGCTGCGAGCGCTGCAATCCGGAACTGGAAGTCTACTGGAATATTATCTCCAATCCAAGTGGTCACAGGGAAGAAAAGCTATAAACAATCGAATAGCAAAATTGCTGAGGGCAGATCAGTGACCTTAGTTATAGGATGATTTATTTCTTTTTTAGGCAAATGTTTGTTTCCACTCAGAGATAATTCATGGGAAATTTAAGCCTATTTCAACCTCCCAGCCTTCTCAGGGATGTAAGAAGCTCCAGCTTTTGAGGGAGTGGCCAGAATTCATTCATTCATCTTTCCCTTTCTTTCCTCTAATGCAGGAATTAATAATTCCTTTCAGCTGATATTCAAACTATTCATTCTCATTGAAAATATAGCAAACCTTATTAGAAAGTCTTACATGTCTTTGTTTCTCTTCTTTAAAACCAATAGTGGAAAAGACTTCTGGAGAACATGGATAGGGATGGGGTAATGGGAGAATGAGAATGACTTTGGGAGACGTGGGGAAAGCCTTAGGCTGAACAACTATTATCTAAAAGATAACCTAGTCCCCACAAGGAGATTGTGAGGGTGACGGGGCATTGGAAGAATTGCAAAAGAAACTCCCTAATTGTTCAAAGAGTAAAAGGAGAGGAGGGGAGAAATACTTTCAGAGTTGCAGGATTTTGTATTGTGGCCTCGCAGTAGAGATAGTGCTAGTGTTCATTCTCGTGCCTCTTGTCTGGACTACCTTGAAGGGCTGACAAAATGTCCTTCCAGTCAGGATTCCCAGACCAGGGACGCAGACCCCAACCCTGTATCCAAGATGATTTATGTACCCAACAATAGCCCTTCCCAAAGATAGGAAGAGAGACACAGAGGTACAAATATACCTTCTCAAAGAAGCACACAAAAACGCAGTCACAAACCTGCCCATATCTCAATTGGAGCATCCCGTTTCTGTGATCATTTTAGGAATGTTCTATCATAACCTAAGTACTTAATAACCAGAAATGAATGCTCTTTTTCCTGGAGAGAACATGTTAAGCAAACCAGGTATTAGAAAGTTTTTTTTCCCCTCCTAGTCAAAATATTTTAGGCAAAAAGAAGGAAGCAACCGTACTTAAATTACAAGGCTGCAAATTAGTGCAAAGAATAGACAAAAGATTACAAAAGTTATTAAATAAAAGATGAATGTGTGTAGGTGGACCAGATAAGAGCTTAGTTTGTATATTTGAAAACGAGGTTAATGTTAGAAACTGAACAAAACCCCTCAAGATTTTTGGTTACACTGAGTACAAATGCCAGAAAGCCACATTTTACAGTAGAAGGCATTATCATATCACAGTTTGAATATATTTATGGTGTCTCCAGTACTTTCCCGCCTGTTGCCAAGTGCCCTATAATCATGTGATTAATATTTGCAACTTCTCTGCAGACTTTACTGAAAGTCAATGAAGAAGCCTGCAAGGAAGGACTGGTTTCTGGGGCCCGACAGAAAAAGCGGGCAGAAACCGCAGCAGCCGGCATCGCGCAGCTGTCTGGCGTTTCTGAGCACACGCCGATTCGCGCTCCTGCCCAGCTCGCTTGCCTTCCGCTTGCTTTCTATTTATCAACAGCTTTTCACGCCTTTCCATGTCTTCTGAATTTTGTTTCTCTGCTGCTTGGGACAATCTACTCCCTTCTTTGAATCTGCTTCATTGTAATTTCCTCGATTAGCTACAGTTTTCAAGCAGTTATAATCTCTCTTAATCTCGATCTATTTGATTTCTCCAGAGTTTCTTATTTCTTCCTGTCAGTTGTAATATATTAAACATCAAGATCCTTGGCCCCCTGTTGGAATATAGCATAAGTCACTCCATCTTGTAACCTTCAGTATGCTTAATTCTACACTTCTTCATGCCTACGTGTTAGGTTGCAATTAGCAGCTGAACACACGTAAGAACAGAGAACAAAGAGACAAGTCAAAAGAACTGTCTATGCAAGCTACTATATTATCGCTTCCTGATAAGACCTTCCAATGTGAACCACAATGGCAACTTTTACTGTGAACCGTTAGCAGAATATGCCATGTATTAGATAGATACATTTTGTAAAACCTTGGCTGTCTCTAACCTCCTAAACTCCCTTGTTTGTAACCCTCACCCCCCTGCAAAAGTTTCTGCCTGCAATTTGCTTTGATGTATGCTAATAAAGGAGAGCCTGGGAGGGAGAGACTCCACTTTTGCTCTTTGGACTTCTTCTCTCTCGACTCTCATCCGAGGCAGCCTTGTGTCTGTCTTTTCTTTACCATGAGAGTCCGTGTTGGACTTCTTCTCTCTCGACTCTCATCCGAGGCAGCCTTGTGTCTGTCTTTTCTTTACCATGAGAGTCCGTGACAACTCAAGAATCAGCCCCCGGACGAGGTCTGAAACCAAGCCGGGAGACTCAGGTCCCGGTTTCCTACAACTGGTGACCCCGACGTGATTCCTTGCGAGGGATACGTCCTTGGACCATCCATTCT